AGCTCTGCGCCGGGCTCAGCCGCTCTGCAAAGGCCAGTGCCGGCATGGCCAGGGCTTAAGGCAGGAGCTGGGGATGTGGCCAGGGCTGAGTTACTCTCCCCATCCATTTAGACAAAGCCTCAGCCCTGAGCCAGCATGGAAGCCTGGTCCTCTGGGAGCTTCCTGTGGAGAGCAGAGGGTCCTGCTGGCCCCGGGCCCCTGCATAGCCGTGGGCTCGTGGCACGAAGCCGCCTTCTGCATCGCATGTGGCAACAGGGATGAAATGGGAGGCTGCTGAGCCCCTCTCCTTGAACTTTGCTGTTTCCCACCAAGCACAGCCCTTTCAGAGAGACTTCCCTCCCTGGGAAGCACCATCCGATGCCTCCAGAGCCGTGGCTGTGGTGGTGGCTGGGGATGATGCTCGAGGCCGAGCTGTGCCGGGAAATGCCTCCCGCTGCCTCCGGCATTTGGTAAAACACTTACAGCAGGGCTGTGTTTTCTTCATTTCCTGCCTGCTCCTGCTTCCAAGGAGACAAAATCCCCCAAGCCAGGGCTGAGGTTTCTCATTTAAATGTAACCCAGGCCCATAACTGGAGCTGCCAGCCCTCCCCATGGCCCGGCTGTACCAGGGTGGTGCAGGAGGAGGGACGGCAGGACCCGTGGTCCCATCATGGGCGCTGCAGTAAGGCACTGGGAGCAGAGACCCATCCCTGGGATGGGCTGTGGGGAAGGGCAGCTCTTGGCTGTGCTCCAGGCAGGGCACTCGGGGTGCCAGGGGGAGGTTTTGGGGTTGCAGCAACCTCTTCCCTCCTCCAATCTGGCAAAACCCAGGTGATTTTTGCACCAGGGCTGGAGCAGAAGCTCCAGAGCGGATGGTTTGGGGCCAGCCCTGGCGCTGTTGTGGGTGCTGCCAGCTCTCTCACCTGCACGGTGGCCAAGGGCAAGTGCTTGGAGCCAGATCTGGGCCCCGCTGCTGCCAGCAGGGCCAGGGCTGCTCAGAGCAGAGAAGGGGAGCAAACCCCAGCCCGCCCCCCCCGCCTGCACTGCAGCACGGGCAGGCCTTGGAGGCAGGAGCTGCCTGTGCTTGCGGCATCTGCTGGGAGCCTGGGAAGGGCTGGCCCTGCCAGATGTGCGAGCACAGCTGGGGTGAGGCTGTGCCCACGTCTCTTAGCTCATATTTTAATCCCAAAGTTGGGCTGTTGATCCCCCCCGAGCCTCTCCTGCACATCCCTGGCATGGGGGTGGCTGCTCAGCACTCTGGCGCCTTCTTGGATGGATTTGACTCTTTTTTATAGCTCCACTTTCTGCCTCTTTCTCCACCAAAAAAGGGAGCCCTGCTGTATCTCCCCGCCCGTGCTGCCTGCTCCATCATCCCCCGAAGGCCTGGAGCAGCTGGGAATGTCTCTGGACTCGCTGGAGCGCTGGGAGAGCGACCAGCACTGGCAGGGCCGGGGTGGGGGCTTCCTCCAGCTCGAGCTCCACCTGAGCTTCCTTCGTCCATCCTGACAGCAGGGAACCAGACACAGGTAGGAGCCAAAGGTGCATTTCCCACCTGGGAAGGGGGCACAGGGAGCTGGGCAATGGCCACTGTGATATCAGCAGGGGATGGGGCTGGGAGGGTGACATTGTCAGCCTGGTGCTCACAAGGATTCAGTGGGGGCTCAGCTCCCACAGCTCCCGAATTTCTGGTCCAGGGGAAGCACCTTGGCCTGAGTTGTGATTGTTTTTAATGCCACCTTGTCACTATGGGTCCCCACAACTCCTGAGCCCTCTGCATGCCCCCAGTCAATCGAGGAAGCTGATCAGCAATGGCACAGCCCTGCCAGGAGCTGGGGAAGGGGGCTGCAGCCCTGTGCCCACCCCAGCGCCGGCTGTGCTGCGTGGGAGCCTGAGGAGGGGCTCCAGCAGACCTGGATGGTGCTGCCTTTGTGCCATGCACAGTCTGGTGTGTCACCCTGTCCCCAGGGGAAGTGACAGGGACCCCAGGGAACGGGAGGAACTGGATGGGCTCGCACACCATAGAGAAGCTCCCTCTGAAGACATCAGCAGGGGAGGCACGAGGGAGAGAAAAGCTGTTTCAGCTGCCATGTGATGTTGACATAAGAATCACCAGGTAAAAACTGCCCCTGAATACAGCAGAGCTGGGAATTACGGGATTTTTCACTGCTGGGGGAGGCAGGCTTGGGAATTATCTCCTGAGGGTGCTCAGCTGAGCCCTGGGGTAGAATAAACACCTCCAGCCTCCGGCTTAACCTTGGTGGGGACAAAGGGAGCCCAGAATTGCCCAGCACTGAGCCCAGCCCTGGGAGAGCAGGAGACAGACAATCTGTGGGTCCTTCGGCCCTCCCAGCCCCATCTCCCCTCATCACTTGCTAACGCAGCCCCTCGTCGGCGCCCAGCCGAGGGAAATGTTCATTTCCTTTACAATAAACAGCCCCAGCCCTCGGGGCTGCCACCAGCTCCCCGAGCCCGAGGTGAAGCGGAGCCGGGGGGGCCGCACCCATCCCGCACCCATCCCGCACCCATCCTGCGCACATCACATCCCGCACACATCACATCCCGCACACATCACATCCCGCACACATCCCTCACACATCACATCCCGCACACATCCTGCACCCATCCTGCACACATCCTGCACCCATCACATCCCGCACACATCCTGCACCCATCACATCCCGCACACATCACATCCCGCACACATCCTGCACCCATCC